TACACACCCTTCTGTAACATTCCAAACTCCACCAGCCTATACAATCTCTTAGCCATGTCCTAGCTTTCCAGTTCAACCGGAGTTGGATCACTATGAAGAAATGGAGAAGGAGTGGAGGTTCAGAAAAGAAAAGTGTGAACAAGAAATGAATGTTATGAAGGATGCCATCTCCGAAGCAGTAAAAAGTGTCCAATCTTTGAGGAAAATAACAGGACTTAAGTATGAGGACCTTTTCTTGCACCCTGAGTTGGAAATACCCGAAGGTTACAAAATTCCAAAAATTGAAACCTTCAATGGTATTGGCAATCCCATGGATCACCTACGAGCTTATTGTGACAAACTCATGGGTATCGGGAAAAATAATGCATTCATTATGAGGTTGTTTAGTGGAAGCCTCAGTGGGGAGGCGTTAGAATGGTTCACATCTCAAGAACTCCGTAAGTGGTTTACATAGGGGCACTGGCCAAAGATTTTTTGGAAAGACTCCAGTTTAATGTCGAAGTTGTCCCTGACAGATATTATTTGGAAAACATCAAGCAAAAGACCACAGAGAACCATCGTGAATATGCAAGCCGCTAGAAAAAAGAAGCTGCAAAGGTACAACCTGTGATTACTGAAAATGAAATAACCTCTATTCGAGCTCAGGAGCCCGAGTATTATGAGAAGATGTTGCCATTGTTGGACAAAAGTTTTTGGAGTTGATCCGAATGGGAGAAACCATAGAGGATGGCCTCAAGTCTGGAAAGGTTATAAGTCTCATTGCTTTACAGGCCGCCAACAAAGCCTCACCATCTATGGCCATATGATTTGCTAGGAAAAAGAAAGAAGACGTGTTTGTTGTATCTTTTAACCCTAGAGCAAGGCCACAAAGGTATTTTTGGTCTGGAAACTCGAACAGATTCCCCACCGCAAACAATTACCAACCACCTCTACAAGCTCCAATCCCAATCTACTATGCACAACAAAACTACCAAGTACCACCGCATATCTACCAAAATCAACAACCAACCTACCAAAATACACTACCAAATCACCAGTCTACCGAAATCCCAGACAAAACAACCCAAATGCCAACAATCTACCTCGCCCTAACCTCGAAAGAAAGCCTCCCAGAGTTTTCACTCCTTTGGCAGTAACGCGTACCCAACTCTTTGAGCATTTAAGAGCATCTGGATTGATCCAATTAGTACGCAAGGATAATTAATCCCACAATCAAGTTCTTTCGAGCGGATCAATGTTGTGCTTACCATTCTGGAGGGGTAGGACATGATACAGAAGGATGTATCAACCTGAAATATAAGATTCAAGACTTGGTCGATAACAGAGTCATGACTCTCCAAGCTCCTGCCCCCAATGTGAACCTTAACCCATTTTCGAATCATGGGGGAGTGACCGTCAACATGATTGAAAGAGAGGAAGATTGGGTTAATAATAAAACTACCAGTGAAGCAAATATTAACTCGCTCATACCAACAGTGGCCTCATTGACCTTAAAGGCACGTCCAGAGTTTGTGTTAATAACTATACCTCATCAGGCATTTCCTTTGGTAAAAGAAAGAAGCAATGACCAGCCCAAAGAAAAGTTTGTTGTACAGGCGGTTACAACTCAAGGGATGACACGTTATAGATAATATTATGTCCCAGAAGAGCTAACTTAGGAGACACAAAGAAAGAAGAACCAAAAAAGGCCGATCACAAAAGGTGAGGCCGAAGAATTTTGGCGAAGAAAGCAGCCTAAGGAGTACTCCACTGTCAAGCATTTGGAGAAGACTCCAGCTCAAATTTCTATTTGGGCTTTATTAATGAATTCTAAGTACCATCGAAAAGCACTGTTGAAGGCACTTGATGAAGCGTATGTACCGACGGGAACAAGTGGTGAGAATCTGGCCACTATGGTTAGCCATGTTATTAGGAGTCATCAAATCTCTTTTCGAGAAGAGGAGTTACCAATCAAAGAAGTGAAGAACAACCGTACTTTGTATATCACCGTCAAATCCAGGGACACGTTTGTAGCGCGAGTATTGATTGATAATGGGTCTGGACTCAATATCTACCCATTGTCAACCCTTACTCAGCTAAATTATGATGTAGGGAAAATTCATTAAAGTCGCATGAATGTAAAGACGTTTTGTGGTTAGCAAAGAGAGACAATGGGGGAAGTAGACTTGTGTATCCAAATAGGGCTTGCAGAATTTGTCACTGAATTACAGGTGATGGGTATATCTACAAGCTACAACTTATTGCTAGGAAGACCATGGATCCATGTTGTTGGAGTTGTCTTATCCACATTGCATCAAATTTGGAAGTTCATCTGGGAAGATCATGAAATCGTCATCCATGGTGAAGGGAGTAATCGTAGTTACCATGGCTTCTCCATTCCAGTTATTGAAGATTCTTCTCAAGATACTGAATTTCACATGGTGGATATAATGAATGCTGCTTTTGAAGATACGACACCACAAGTACCAATGCCGCCAGTGTATAAAATGCTAGCCACGACTATGCTAACAAGCTATTTTGAGCCTGGGCGTGGGTTAGGCAAGAATTTGGATGGAATATCTGAACCTCTTCCTATCCCACTTCAAAATTTTCGCTTCGGTGTCGGCTATACCCCAACAGAGGAAGAATTGTTTGAAGCAGATACGTGGAAAAACATGACCGTGATATACCGAAGCCTATTCCAGAATTGTACCAGTCATTTGTTGCTAAAGCTTTAGAGCATGATAGTGATGGTCTAGTGGAAGGGATTGGAAGATTGTTTGATGAAGAAGATTGTGTTGTGATTTCGGCGGAGTTAACCACTACACCCACCATTCGAGACGCGGGACATGAAGAGAGGCTACATAATTAGATGGCCACTCCACTTATGATCCATGGAATGGCTTGGTAGACAGAGAAAAGATTTGAAGTTTTTATTTTTGAAAATCGGTGTTGTTCGGATGAGGCCCGAAACCACCATTTATGTCACTCTATCTTTCATCGTAATGTTTAAAAAGGAAATGACTCATATTGACATGAGTCATGACCAAAGTTTGCACGCATCTTTAAAATTCTAATGAAAGCCTCATTTATTTTAAATTGATTATCTTGTCTTTGTGAATTACTCTCCAATATATATATTTAAACTCTTTCTATCTAACATGGTTGATTTATTGTACTTTTCAGTAAAAATGAATCTAAACCTACCAATGTCATGACATGTCACGAGCATGGTGAACCAAGTAAGGTCAATAAAGATGAATGTGAAGTTTATGATGAGGACACCATGATGCATGAACACCTCACCGAGGACTTGAGTCAACTTGAAAACAATAAAAATTCCAACCTGGATGAGACAGAGATAGTAAACTTAGGAGGTGACGACGCAGTTAAAGAAACCTGAGTCAGTGTCCATTTAAAAAGTTACAGAAAAAGAAGAATTTGTCAAACTACTCAGACAGTACATTGATAACTTTGCATGGTCTTATGATGATATGCTGGGGTTGAGCACCGATATTGTTTACCATAAGCTACCTATCAGTTCAGAGTATTATCCAGAAAACCAGAAAGTTCAAGCCAGACCTGAGTTTAAGGATAAAAGAAGAAGTCATGAAGTAGATTGAATCAAAAGTCGTTGAAGTGACCAAGTATCCGACTTGGCTGGCTAACATTGTTTAAGTAGCGAAGAAAGATGGAAAGATCAGGATATGCGTGGATTATCGAGATCTCAACAAAGCAAGTCGAGAAGAGAATTTTCCCTTGGCAAATATCCACATACTTATCGATAATTGTGCTAAGCATGAGTTACAATCTTTTGTGGATTGTTTTGCGGGATACCACCAGATCCTGATAGACAAAGAAGATGCAGAGAAAACAACATTCATCACACCTTGGGGAGTCTACCATTATCGGGTGATGTCGTTCGAACTCAAGAATCTCGGAGCCACTTACATGAGAGATATGACCACCATTTTCCATGATATTATCCACAAAGAAATTGAGGGGCATGTGGACGATCTCATCATAAAATCTCACGAGTGTTCGGATCATCTAACAAACTTGGAAAAGTTCTTTAACAGGTTACGTAGGTATGATTTGAAGTTGAACCTAGCCAAATGTGCATTTGGAGTACCTGCAGGGAAGTTACTCGGATTCATAGTAGGCAAAAGAGGTATCGAGCTTGATCCTTCCAAGATCAAGGCAATTCAAGACATACCTCCTCCACAGACTAAAAAGGAAGTAATGAGTTTTCTGGGGAGATATAAATACATTAGTTGATTCACAGATCAATCAACGGTGATATGTGAGCCTATATTCATGTTACTACGAAAAGATGCACCAACCAAATGGAACGAAAAAATGTCAGAAGGCTTTTAACACCATCAAAAGTTACCTTTTGAATCCACTAATGTTGGTGCCACCACGTGCAGGTAGTCCTTTGCTATTGTATTTATCCGTCTTTGATAATTCATTCGGGTATGTGTTGGGACAACATGATGAGACCGGAAGAAAGGAGAGAGCTATATACTATTTGAGCAAGAAGTTCACATCCTATGAGGCCTGTTACACCCTTTTAGAGAGAACTTGTTGTTCTTTGACATGGGTTCCTCAGAAATTGAGACATTATCTGTCGGATTATACACCACATCTTATTTCGAAAATGGACCCGCTCAAGTATATATTTCAGAAAGAAATGCCCACAGTAAAGCTAGCAAACTAGCAAATGTTGTTTAGTGAGTTCGACATTGTGTACATGACTTAGAAAGTAATCAAGGGGTAAGCCATGGCAGATCACCTTGCTGAAAACCCAGTAGATGAAGGTTATGAACCGCTGAACTTATTTTCCTGATGAAGAAGTATTTTTTGTAGGGGAAGACATATCAGAATCATATCCTGGGTGGAGAATGTTCTTTGATGGAGAAGTGATCTCTAGAGGATCAGGAATTAAAGTGGTGTTGGTATCTGAATCGGGGCAACATTATCCCGCAAGAGAAAAGCTTTGATTTTGATACACTAATAACATGGCTGAGTACGAAGCATGTATTCTTGGAATTAGAATAGGTCTTGACATGAATGTTCATGAATTACTGGTAATTAGTGATTCAGACTTGTTGATTCATCAGGTTCAAGAAGAATGGGCCGTGAAGAATCCTAAAATCATACCTTACGTACAATTGGTACGGAGGTTATGCAAAAGATTTAGGAAGACCGAGTTCAGACACACCCAGAGAATATAGAACGAGCTTGTTGATTCCCTCACAACCATATCGTCCATAATACAACACCCAGAAAAGAGTTATATCGATCCACTTAAGATAGGTTAAAAAGAACAACCAGCACATTGTTCACATGTGGAAGCGGAATGGGATGGGAATCCATGGTATATCGATGTGAAAAAGTACTTAGAAGCTGGCGAATATTTGGAAAAAGCAACAAGTATTTAGAAGAAAACAATTCAAATAATGGAAAACAACCTCTTTTTGAATGAAGAGGTTCTTTATAAGAGGACACCCAGTCTAGGATTACTAAGATGTGTGGATACTGTAGAAGCCACAACATTGCTTGAAGAAGTGCATGCTAGAGTGTGTGGGACGCACATGAATGGGCTTACATTAGCAAAGATTATCTTAAGGGCGGGATACTTATGGATGACTATGGAAAATGATTGTGGCTGATTTGTCCAAAAATGTCAAAAATGCCAGGTACACGGAGATCTGATCAAAGTACCACCCCACGAGCTCAATGCGATGAGTTCCCCTTGGCCATTTGAATGTTGGGGCATGGATGCTATTGTACCGATTGAGCATAGGATCATTTTGGTCGCCATTGATTACTTGACAAAGTGGGTCGAAGCTGCTTCCTACAAAGCTGTGACAAAGAAAGTTGTGGATGATTTTGTTCGCAACAATTTGATATGTTGTTTTGGAGTTCCAGAATCTATCATCATAGACAATGGAGCAAATCTGAATAGTCACTTGATGAAAGAGATATGTGAACACTTAAAAATTACCCACCGCAATTCAACTGCATATCGTCCTCAGATGAATGGAGCTATGGAAGCTGCTAATAAGAACATCAAGAGGACACTGAGAAAGATGATTGACAACTACAAATGTTGGCATGAAAACTTTCCTTATGCTTTGCTAGGTTATCGCACCACAATTTGAACCTCAACTGGACCAACTCCTTATCTATTCGTATACGGAACAGAAGCACTGATACTAGCTGAAGTTGAGATACCATCTTTAAGGATTATTCAAGAAGCTGGATTGAGCGATGTCGAATGGGTTCGTGACCGATATGAGCAATTAACATTGATTGATGAGAAAAGAATGAGTGATATTTGTCATGGCTAGTTGTATCAACAAAAAATGACTCGCGCTTTCAACAAGAAAGTAAGAGTTCAAACATTGGATGTAGGCCAATTGGTGTTGAAACGCATTTTCCCTCATCAAGACGAATACAAAGGGAAATTTGCACCTAACTGGCAGGGACCGTTTGTTGTCCACAAAGTATTATCAAGATAAGCTTTGGTGCTAGCAGAGACGGACGGTCAGGTGTGGCGCAAAGGTATCAATTCAGATGCCGTCAAGAGATACTACATTTGAAGGATGATATTTCCTTCCTTCATTTCCTTGTAATTGTAGTTTGTTTGTAATCATTATTGCATTTATTCCTTGAACATTCCCCGTTTGAAGAACTACGTCTAACGTGAATTCTCAAGAATGAGATACGTAGGCGGTCTATATCGGCCTCAGTCACACCTTTATCCATTTTTTACATTTCCTTATCAAATTTTCTATTTTTGTTAGCCCTCAAGAGAGGAACTACGTTTGACCTGATTCCAGCCTCAACAGGATATGTAGGCGCCACAACGGTTCGGTCATATTCCCAATAAGATTTCCATTTCCCTTCATAATGGAAACTGGGACAGAATTTTTGAGAGGATCTCAAAAATTCTACAAAAAGAGTTACTTCCTACAAACAGAGGTCAAATATCATATCAAAATGTGCAATTAGGACATGATCTTGAGAAAATCTAATTTTTTTCTGCAAGATATCATGACTTCCGTGATCACCATCAGATTTATTTTTGAAGCATCTAACTCGGACAGAATTTTTGAGAAGGACCTCAAAAATTCCATCAAGGATACTCAGACCTTCAAAGTCAACTTCAATTTCCTCAAATTGACGTGTTCTTAAAGGGTGTTAGGTTGCCAGCAAGCTACCTCTCATGTCAAAATCTGAGACAAAGGATGTTCTATTCGTGTCGTGCATGTTGTGACAGTTCATTGGCAGAGATTTTCTTTTAAAACTATTTTTCAAAAAATGCATACATAGCAAATGTTTTAATTTAAGTATGATCTTGTCTTTTGTCTACTGCCATTCGTAGGGTCAACCAAACTTCGAAAGATAGTGAGACAAGGAGTAAGGCGCGCACTACTAGAAATAAGGCCTACGACAACGGCTTTTTTAGCAACGCTGAAGCAACCATTACTATAGACTGTCTATTGCAATGGTTTGAACTGTTGCCAAAAGGGTTGGCTATTATTGCTACGGCTAGGTAATAAATTTGTTGCCATTGTGTGAAAACTGTTGCAATAGATCTACATATTGCATCGGTTGCTAGAACCGTTGCCATAAAGTCATCTATGGCAACATTTAATGCGAATTTTTTTCTATTGGAACGGTTATTAAATACCTCAATAATTTCCCTCTTTTATTTTGGCTGAACCCGCCAAAAAAATTTCATTCTATTATATTTTTAACAGATTTTTTAAATACAATTTATTTTGCTCTTTATCAAACATCGATACAAACGAGGCAAACATTTTCTAAGCTCATTTCCCATCTCTTCAACAAGAACACAGAAGCTGTCACTATTCTTCTCTTTGAACTAATTTTTCATCCATTCAGAGCAGATCGAAGCAACACAGAAGTTGTGGAGCTTTGCATGGATATTAATCTTATTGTAAGTTCTTCATGTCTGTCATTTTAGGGAAAACATAAACCCATTTTTTCTTCCAATATAAATCCATTTCTCTCTTCAAACCTCTTGTGAAATCCAAAGAAATGGAGGGTTGTATGTTTTCTTGTAAAATCTGAGAAATCTAGAAGTCTTCTTCAACTGCTGTAAGTTCTCTTCTTCAATCTTTGAGGTTATAGCCGAAGAAACTACAAGTTTGAGCTTATGAGGCTTTATTCTTGAATCTCTTCTTTTGTCTTTAATCTTTGGGTGTAGTTAGTGTATTTGATGTATTTCTCTGATTGTGGGGTTTTTTCCATTAAATTGTAGCTCTTATGGGTTTAATGTTTTGTTGGAGTTATGATCAAATTGACTACTCTAGACCATATTTAACTTGACATTGATGATGTATATCTTGTCCATGAGTTATTCAATCGGATTTGAATACCCTTGCATAGATAATGTCTTCATTGATGTCACCACTCACTCGAGTAGGATATCAAAAAATCACTTCTTCTTTTTTTGAAGATTTACGTTACAGCAACAGGAAACAAGAGATACATTAACATGAGAATAGAATAAACTAAAATTTGTTACTGGTTGGTACTAAAATTTGCTACTGATTTGAAAAGTGATATTCTCTGCCAATCATCACCATCCAGAGCATTGCACCATCTACTCTGGCCACCGCTTCTCGCCTCCGTTAGAGTCCGCCATGGTTTCTTGAGCTATAGCCATGGTTGTAACTTGTAAGTGCTCCCTCTCTTTTTTTGCATTTCTCAGTTAGATTCTTTCCGATTTATCAATGTATATAAGCTGATGTGAAATTCCATGGGTGGATAATTTCTTGTATATCATCATTATACTTTTGTTTTTCCTTTTCTCTCCTTTACTGATTCCTTCTAATTGTTGAAGTACCTCTTTTTTTTACTTTATTAACTTATTAAAAGTGCTATTGTTTGACATTATTTTAGATCTATTTCTTATTATAATAGAATGTAGCTTGTTTTATGACTTTTCTGTAGTTGATTCTTCGTGGATGTCTTCTTGAAATGGACTTGTATCTGCTCATGAATTATAAAATAATTATTCACCTGATTATCTTGCTTTGGATTCTCAAATTTGGTACTTCCAGTTTGTCCAAATTGAGAAGTTTCCTCCCTCTGATAGTAACTCTCGGAATGTATATTTTTGGCGTCCTTCCACCTCAAATGCTTGATTAGCTAGATATTAAGCTAATGAATTCCCTTCCCTATAAATGTGTTGAATGTTTATTGTTGTATCTCTTATGAGAGCTAGAGTGTCTTCCACAATAACTCTAATATTCCAAGGTATCTCCAATTTTCCCTGTAGTATATTTTTCAGTAACAATGAGTTCGTCTCAATAGTTACTCTAGAGTATCCCCTAGCTACATAATTATAGATTCCCTCCTTAATTGTCACTTCTTCTACTTCCACATTAGTTGTTTTGGATATCTCCTTTGCTTGTGCATAGAAGAGGTTACCTTCTTGATCTCTTAGGCAATAAGCATAAGAACTCTTGCCTCGATTACCTTTATTTTCAACATCTATGTTACACTTGATGTTATTTGCATTTGGGGGCTTCCAACTGATCTCTTATAATAAATCTTTGGCATGTAATCCTCTAAGTATTATACCTTGTCTAACCAGTTGGTGGGGAATTGTTTCAAACGTAGAAAAATTGTCATTGCAAAATGGCATACATTTAGAGTAACCTGATAAACAACTCTGCTTTATGTCATGTTTACCCATGTTTGATAAAATTTCTTCTACTCAAAATTCCCCATAGTATTATAGAAGGCATAACCTTCATAATTTGTTAAAGCTTTTGACCTACTAGTGTTGTCTACCATGTTACTAGCACTTGATTTCCGTTCTATCCTTCTAAGCTTAAACCTGCAAATTGACCAACATAGACCCCTAAATTCCTTACTTTTTATGATTGTTGTAGGCGTGTAGTATTAGTTAAAAGAAAAAATCTAAATAGTGTACAAGAATATCTACTTGACGATTCAATGCCAATGAGTGTTCTGGTGAGCACCTCAATTTCTTATTATTGGTATACGAGATGAATTTGCACTAGGAGGATCACACGAGTACTTATATGATTAAGTACTTGATATAAAGAGAATTTTAGGTATTGACTTTTACCTAAGTGTGGTTGGTGCTGCTAATTTCATACGAATCATATTGATCACAATTGTGGATCATGTAAAAAAATGTGGCAAGAATTAGTTTGAAAAGAATCTAAATAGCAATAGATTGGATTATTTCTACAGTGAACTTGTACCTATGTAATTTCCCTTATTATTTTGTTTTAAAATATGAGTATTAATACGATAATTTAACTAGTTGAATACCTGTGTTTCAATATTATTTACCTTAAATTCTGTTTTATCACTTTTAAAGAGTGTTTTGACTTGATTTCTTATAATAATAAAAAATCACTAGGGATTCTTTTTGGAAAAAGTATTGAACATTGTTGATAGATGTTGCATCAACATTGAACATTGTTTCCCACGCCCACAATCATGTACCTTGCTTGATTTAAGTTTTTTGCCTTCTTCCAAATTGGAAATACGCTTTCTGTCAATGTATGTTGACTTAATGTTGTGCTGCCAACACAATAATGACCTCTCTTCTTACACCAACTTCGATATTGTCAACCTCTTAACTCAGAAGTGGATTGCTATTCCCCCTGCCCCTCCGGCCTATTAGTTGATTCCTCATCTTCTGGTTTTGTTTGTAAAAATAGTACTAATAGGATCAGGACAGTCCTGATTGCTGATCATTATTTTAAAACGCCTAGCTTTTAGATAAGGATCTAGCTATTTTCTTCAGAAAAGGGTGAACATAATTGTTTCAATGTTTCATCAGCACGTATGTTGAAGAATAATTGATCTATACGTATTATTGTCTATGAAAGGTTACTTCATTGAATGCATGTCGGTGGTATATTTGTGTATGATCCTTTCTTGGATCCCCAATGATTGTCTAATTTTATTGAACGTCCTTATTGGTGAGTTAGAATATGATCTGAACTTCATGTGAATCCATTAACTATTTTCCATTTCTTGAATGTCCATAAGTCGTTGATAACATAAATTTGAAAGCATGATAAGCTTGGTATGATGTTTCTACTTTTCCATAGTAGTTAAAAGTATTAAGTATGAGCTATTT